GCCCCCCTAGGCTTAGGTTTGCTTCACCTGCACAAGCAACAAAACCACTAAGAACAAGTGGGTGAGCAATGCAAGGTAGTTGAGGTGCCCTGTTGGCTTGCTTTTACAGAAGCTGATCAGGGACAAACCTAATTTTTTTTCAAATCCAAAAAAATATAATTTGAAATTGCAATTTTTTTGGTCCAATCAATGTTGAAGAATGTGTGAAATCTAATATAACTTAAAGTGATTATCGACAGATAAATTATTGGATCCACAAATATCTTTTACAAATCCGATAATTTCAATATCCAAGAATCGTCATCAAATGCAGAAAAAAAAATTAATTAATTTTGCAAATCGCCAAAAAAATACGACGTGTTGCTGGCACCAGGAGTCAGCCAGTATCAGAGGTTTTCCGATTTTGCCACCTTTCACTTTTTATTATCCTTTTGGATTTGAAAAAGAGCTTTTTCTATATTGTTTCTCTTTGTCTAACATACTTCACTTGCTGACTCCTTTCTGTCACTTTTTGCTTACACATGTGATCCAAACACATACATGGCTAGGGGAAATTGAAATTGAAATTCTAGGGGAGGGTCTTTTGGGGAGGGGAAGTGAGCGACTTTTTTTGAGAGCTTTTAAGGTAAGTTAGTAGCATATATTAGCATTACAACAGACCATTTTACAGTTGTCTGTGCAGTGAGCTGGCCTTTGAATGGCAATCAAGTTGTTCTTATGCTAACTAGTTGGCATTTACATGAGAAAAGCAGAGAAGCAAGTCACTTGAAGTCATAGGCTAGGTAACTATATAAGCATACTGTAAAAATTATGGCCTGTTTGTATTTCTGTCATTGTTTGAACATAAATTATAGCAGATATACTATATATTAGATTAATAGCGCAAAGAAAATATGTGCACTGATTGGTTTAAAATCCTGTTACTATAACTCGATAGAAACACAGGACTCGCACAAGCTGTTGACATAATGATGGTGTGAGCAAAGAGAATGTACATTTTGATGATCAAAGTAAACAAGGTGTTTTCTTTTTTTTGTTGTGGAATTTTCTGAGAGAAATAGAAAACATGTTCTGTGTTTTTATTGAGTTAAAGAAACATGCGTGGAAGTTTGGGAGAACTCAAAAAAGCTGTGGAACCACTCACCTGTCAGCTCATGTCCCCACAGCATTTCTCGTTCTCCCAACGTCCACTTGTGTTTCTATAACTCGATAGAAACACGGTTCATGTGTTCCCTTTCTCTTGTAATTATAACTGCAATCTAAAATGAGGGAAAATAAAATTGTGTAAACATTAGACTAGGTTCTAAAATTTTTCTGCCAAGTAATAATTATGCCTGGAACATACCAGTAATGGGAGAGGTGAGTTTGTACAGTGACCAATGTTGAGTTACTTTTATTAATTACTTATTGCTTAGGAGGGAACAGAGGATGGAGTCAAATCTCAGCTTAAAGACACTGCCCAGGAATTTTTGTTCAAACCAGTAAGCAGACAATGCATTTTTTGTGCTTGTGTGTGATTAGAATGTATAACTGTGTATCAGACTTATGGTGAATGGAATCCGTAGTTATTGCAGAAGGAGTTGCACAATGAGTATGAAAATGACGTAGCAGATACGCACAAAAAAGGAGTTGAGCAAAAAGGAGGCCAAATGCCCCTGAAAAAACCTAGACAGGCAGACAATATGCAGATCACAGTCCTCACACAACAAAATCTCAAAATAGCCTGGCTGTACCCAGACACCAACACTGAGATTAAAATACGCTGTCATTCCTTGAACATAATATGGTCTCACTGCATATGAGCCAAGTGGCCCATCAGGCCGAAGCTTATCCCAGCATCTGTAGCATGAAGTGACTAGTAATATTTCTGCTCCCCCCTGGATAAGATGCTAGTCCATTGCAGGGTTACCCCCAGCATTACGGCCGCCAGTACCCATTTATATACCTGGGTAGAGAGAGGCACTGTGAGAGTCAAGTGTCTTGCCCAAGAACACAACACAATGTCCCCAGCTATGGCTTGAACCCGGAGCACTCGATTTAGAGACAAGCATGCTATCTATGAGGTCACTGCATCTCCCAGTTTGAATGTAATATAATTAACATTAATTAATTATAAATAATTATTCTTCTGCATATGGCATGTTTGATTGGTTTGGTCACTGCAATACATATTATATGGAAATTCTTTTTTTGCAGGCTGTTGTTGACCAGGTCAATATTGAAGGGTATTGGAGAACCAAAAAAGACATTTTAATTCCAGGCATTAAAAGAGTTTTAGAGGCTACAACATTCAAAGAGGTAAACTATAGTAATACAAGTATAATGATGAAATCATAAAATCACACTGTGGATGATCCTCCCGAAAATCATCTTAGAACTAATGCTGTGGCTTTCATCTCTTGACATATATGCAGGTATATTAAGTGACCATTATTTATAAATGCTAGTATATTAGTCTTCATAACCCTTAGTGGTCCACAGTTGCCAGCTAACCATCCCCTCCCCCCCGCCAAAAAAAGAAAGAATGAAAATTTCACCCCTAGAGGTGGTTGGTCAATTTTAGCCCCCCTCCCTTAGATTCACTCCTGGGTTTGATTGGTTTTAAAAACAAAAAGTGCTTAATTTGACCAGTGGTTATGAACAACAGAACTTGATATTGTGCCATGTTTTTCCAGTGAGACATACATACAATGACAGTTACTGTTAGAAGTCTGTCTTCACATATTTTCAAACATTTAATAAGGACTTTGTTTGCTCCCTTCCTGACCACTTGTCAAGGGGAACTAAACCTCTGATTACAAGCTTGCAAGTTACCATGTGTTGCACTTATATGTAGACATAAATAATTTCCTTTTAATAGCATCTGGAGCTTAAAAAATAGGTTGGTCTGTTGATCAATTTGATTTCTTCTCTGGCAGCTGCTAGATTTGGCATTTGAGGCAAAAAATAACCTTATGGACCTTGGAATATTTAATGAAGTTGATATGCTCATTGATACAAGCTCAGGTAAACTATGATTACCAAGTGTATTATACTCTCCCTTTGCATTGCTACACTGTATTATGATGTAAACAATTAGTAATAGTAGTTGAACGGAGTGGAATACAATTCAGGGTGTAATTGTGCAAGTAATTTCAAAATCAGACGAGCGCAAAGTCTGAAGTCGATTTGAAATTACGAGCACGATTACTCCCTGAATTGTACAACAGGAGGTCTAATTAATAATATTAATCGTATCTATAACAAATTTCGGAATTAAGGTATCATGGTAGGTGGATTGACAGTGTTTGGAAATCACTCTCTTACACTGGCGCTTTGAAAGAAAACCCAATCAATCTATACATTTTCTGAAAGCTTAATAGTTATAGAGTGTAATCATATGTTTGAAATTTTCTAAAAAAGTCATTGTTGCAGTGATACGATATAAAAAGAAATACCCAGAAACACTGCTTTCCTTAAACTGGTTGACTTCTGCGCATGAATTATCAGAGCGGTGCGATTAACATCGGAAATGTTTTCTCACACATCACCTTCAAAAAGGGTGTCAGCCATTTTTCAGATGTCGTTTGGTTTTTTTTCTACACCCTCCTAAAGTTTTATATTTTCAATGCCAATGTTTCCTTCTACTAAAGAGGCCATAACTTTGAAACAGAAGCGAAATTAAACAAACCCGACACCCTTTTCAAAGGAGGTATCCTGGAACATACCTGCTGATTTTCAGCCAATTCCGTCAGAAGACACATGTAAACAAACTAAAAATGTTCATCCTTATATGCAGTTTTATTTAATTGAGAAAAAGACGAAAAACCTTTCATGGGATTGGTATGATTAGGTGTTAAAAATCCGCTCCATACTTACAGATGTTGGCATGGGTCAGTTTACCACAACAATAGCTTATGACAACTCGAAATGAAACAGACATCTACAATTCTGGCGTGGAAATCTGTCACAGTGAAATCATCTGAGAAGCAACAAACTACCTAGAGCGTTTTTATTTAAACTGCCGTGATTTCTTTTATTTTGAAGAGTTTGTTGGTGGCATTGGTATTATGTTGCTCAAGTTTAGGCTTCTTCGTTCTCCAGACACTTTTTGAAAGCATGCGTCATGAAGCCAAAAGAGAAAATCTTGAGGTCTACATCTGCACTTGACTCTCTTGTTGTGGAAGTTTCGGAATTGCGTCCATTCTCCAGTAATTTCATGTGACTAGCACTTGTTGTAGTTTTTCCTTCAGCTTCATTGGTGGGATTAGTGTCCTTGAGTTTTTGTCATTCTTCTTGGTTACAGTGTGACTGTGGGTCACTCAGAGCCAAAGATCTTGTTTGATGCTGAACCTGTGGGTTCCACCAGATTTTCACCTCTTCAGCTTCTTTGAGGACGAAATGGGCAAGAAGTTTTCTTGCGTTTTCGTCCTGATGCTTGCAATGAAAGAACCAGATCAAGACAAGTTCGTGTGCACAAATGAAACATCTCACCGCAATTCACTTTACACACGACAACTGGCAGTGAATTTTATTTAGAGGTGTCAACAGGCCGTAAGGGGTTAATGGGGTTCAAAAATAGTTTTTCTCTTTATCTTAAAATACTTCTGTCTGCAGACTGCTCCTCTGACCCCAGGACTTAATCATTTGTTCATAGATATTTTACTTATCCATTTGCTGAAAATGTCCCTTCTTCTGCCCTGCAGTCTTTTGCCTCCAAGAACCCTTCCCCCATTCTTTTACGGAGGTTTTTTCCCCTGTATTGCTTAAGGTAAACAATAACCTTGTCAATTTTTGTTGTAGATCACTCCGTGCACCCAAATGGATATGATGTCACATTTCAAGTAAAAGAAAAGAGATTACTCACTAGTAGTACAGGAACTCAAATTGGTAACAGTGAAGGCAACATGGTGAGTACAGACTAACCCTGTGATGGACTAGCATCTCTGCATTCAGCTTGAGTAATTCTCTTATTTGCAGCTATGTGGACCACTTGGCCTGAAGCAGACTTAACCGAATGAGCTGAAATCAGAGAAATATTTGTTCTGTTGTCAGTGCTCATGCTTTCTAGCTTGCTTAATGGTAGCACTGACTCAACATTGCATATGGTGATATTTATGTTACCTTCCATATCTCCTGTGCGGCAAATTACCAACTTAATAACTTGGAACTTTCTCTTGTCTAGCCCCGTTAAGCAATGTTGGTAAAGCAATAGTGACTCAATGTCGATGGCTCAAATGCCACCAAGGTCAATGATCATTGGTTGTTAGTACTATGTAGTTCTCAGTTTCATTAACAGGGCTAATGCTCAGGAGATTCAAGGAGCTTCACTTCAGCCCTTGAAATTACAGTAATATTAGATTGATTCTTTGATTTCAACTTACTTCACTTATACTTGTTTGTAAACTGGAAACAAAGAGGTATGCTACTCTGGTCGATATGTGGATATTATTAGTACAGGTGTAGCCACCAGTTCTTAAAGGAATAATAAATTATGTGTAAATTGGTAAATGCTATTAATTTTGTGTACTTTTTAACAGTTGTTTGGTTGCCGCCTTAACAATGTATTTGGGCGTGCAGAACAAGTCAAAGCAGATCTCTCATTTGGAACAAGAACTAGAATGTCCTATCAAGTGAGTAATTAAAAGGGAGGGTTTCACGGCTTTAACATCACTCATTCAATTTCATTGTATAAAACAATCGGAAACATGCTAAGACTCTTGCCGGAAATTTGCCTTTCAAAATTTCTTGTTCAGTCGCAAAAACTTGACAACATAGGTGAGAGTTCTCATTAGCATTCCTTTCAGATGTTCCTACTTTATGTATTAAGTACATTTTCATTTTCGTATCAATCACGTGTATTTCAGTATTATCAGAGGCTATAATTTTGTGAAAACATAATGATAACCTTTTTGTAGCTATATGGTTACACAAAAGTTAGCAGAATTACTAATGCACACTGGATTTAAACAGAAAATGTTGAATTCAGTTTGAACACCTAATTTGTTATTTGGCCCGACGGTTCTATTCTAGACCGGATGCACAAGTTATCTACTGTTATCAGATTGGTTCATAAACAATGGAATTGGGTGGGCTACCTCATAGCTTGCAAATGCACCGAGCTCTAAAACTATACCTTTTACACATTTGAATCACTTGTAATGGCTAAACAACATGGAGCAAGTGTGAAAATCAATTTAGAAATGGTCAGTGTACAATAAGTATGTACTTACACCAAACATTTACTTTAGGCAAGTCAAAATTTCCCTTTTGGTAAATTAAAGCGTAAGTTGTCTTGTGTTTTAGCTTGCGTACTTTAAGCCAACACCTGGGACACCCGAAAGAAGGTGAGTTTATTGTCTGCCTCATAAATTGATTTTTTTGATGCGAGGTTCTAGAAATATCACATGGTTAGTTCAGTCGTTGATCAGACAGAGAGAGAGAGCCGGGTTGAAGAATTGAAGATAAGGACAGACTGTCGTTGAGCTACCGTACATCTACAAGTGTTAAGGCAGTGTGGCTTGCATTTCTTTCTTGCTAAGAATTAAGCATGTACATTCACAATGCATGAAACTTACGGCTGCGATATAGTCATCTGTGACTGTTGTATCCCTGTGATTCAATCACCACTTTGGTAACTAAAAAATGCACTGTGTTTAGGCAAACCATTTGGCAATGGTCAGCGCCTCAATATAACCCGGCTTGGTACTAACGTCTCTAAAAGCTGTGAGCTCAAAAGAGACCATAAACTTTTTAATATATTGCAACCAGAAGTCGATGGCACTGACACAATTTGGAAACGTACCAGAACTAAGTGATGTGATCAACAGAACAGGGTGTTAGACTTGAAATCCAGGCATCTGAGACTAAAATTGTGTGCTTTGACAACAAGCGCTGTATCTGTTATGTGGTAGTTAGGACTTCTTCTGCTCAAATCAATAGCAGCTAACTGATTGGCATCATTAAAGGTTTTTCACTATTTATATAGTGTCCCATATTAGCACAGCAATGCTAAATATAGCATGTGTACATCTGCCTCCTCCCCTCGAGGGAAGGGAGAGGATGTGTACGGGTTATGGTAAATACAGAAACAGTTGTGAATGAAATTAACGCAATGTGGCACAGTTTTACTCTTTCAGCCCAAAAATCTACAACAGATGTACCTATGTGTTCACATTGGGAAGCAACACAAGGACTCTCTATGGATTATTCGGTAACTACCGGTATTATTTTATACACTTTAAGAATTAAGGATTGTTTATGCATTTGTCAAGTCAAGGACGTACACGGTAGGCTGTGACAGTGTAAGCTAGAGAAGCGTTAGAGTTGTACAAGGTGCAGATTAGACTGAAAGCAAATCAATCGTCTGCTTTTTACCACTTAACTGAATTTTGCTTCGCGGCCGCTCTCGTACACCGTGCTGGCTCACGCGCGCTAGCATTGCTCGCGCTCTCGAAGAAAAATATCCCGTAAAAAAGAAAAAAAAACTTGCGTGCTTGTCCGCACAAAAATAGTAGACTTACCCACAAGTTTAGCTTCAATGTTCGCGACGCTCAAAACTGCTGCCAAGTGCAAAAGATTTTGAAAAGGGCCAACAAAAATTTTCCAGAGTTTAAACTGCTGTCATACATCTAAGTGCCTCTTAGAGGGCTTGGGTTTCCTTTTACTAAGACAGCCCTGCATGTTTTTTTCTTTTATTACTAGCAATCCCTCACCTCCTAGTAGGAAGGTTGTCTACAGACGGTTTGGATGGTTTGTAAATTTTGAAGTTGTCAGTAGAAAGGGAATAAATAAAACTGTGCGCTGAGTATTGTTGTTCTCTTTTAGTTTCCCTCCATTATTGGACAGCACTGCTTGTCCTGGGAAGGAACGTGGCGTGAAGTGACGGGGCTAGCAAAAAATGCATCTTTTGAAATCCGGGAGCAAGCAGGCCATTCACTCAAAAGTGCGCTCAAGGTGAATAACTTATTGCATTTGTATGATAAGTTTATTAAGTTTAAGTGAGGTCTTTTGGTCGTGATGTCCGAAGTAAACTTATTATGAACCCTTAACATTGCATGCTAATGACAAAACACTACGAGATACCTGTCTTGTTTCTTGGTTAACTTTGCAACAAAAACAAGCATTCATGGACTTAACTCAGTGCCCGAGATCTTTTCANATTCGGCTTCGCCTCATGGGCTATTGACATGTAGCCCTTGCGGGCTACGGGTCTAATTGTTAATTAGTCTTTATTGAATGGTGTCAGGGGCACGGTGATATATATGACTCTCTGTTCTTTTTCTTTTTTCAGGAATTTGCAGGATTAGGAGGAGATGTAAGGTTTCTTAAGCATAATTTGGAATACACACACAGTCTAGAACTCCTTCAAGATGTGGTAAGCCTGTCTTTTACGGATCTTTATGGTATTTTGTCTTAATTTGCTTTTCAATCAAAGTCTCTCATTGCACATTTCCTCGCTGTCCATGTCTCAAATTTACAACGCAGAAGTTTCTCGTGTGATTTAAATTCTTGGTGAAAAGTCTTCGTGCCAATAATTGTAACGTCTGTTGCATAAAAAGAGAACGATAAACCTTTGAGTCGGTTACTTTGTCGTTATATTCAATTTATGTCGGAATAGTGGAAGATTTGTGAGAAAATGAGTGAGTGGCGGCGGACGAAAACCTAGAAAAGGGAAGAAGGAAAAGCGGATTCGGTTTAAACCATGATAATAACCGTATCCACCCCTGAAGAAAAACAGAAGGAAGGGAAGTTCTCCTCTTCCGTTTTCCCCCGGAGACTGCAGGGGTGGGGGTGGGTACAGCTACTCTTAAGCAAAGTTAGTTTTGAACCACTCGGTACTGCTTCATCAATGTCAGCTTCCCTTGTTATTTAACTACCTTTGCGACATCTGATTGTTCTCTGTTATCGTCACATGTTGATGTAGCTTCACTCTAAGACGTTATGTAGTGCTTGATATTAAACAGAATAACAGAATTGGTGTTGGGTTAACTTGTTTGTTGCAGATATTATCATGGTCATTTCAAGGAGGAAACCTTCGACCATTATTTGGTACACCCACAAGAATAAACGACAGGTAATCGCATCTCTAAGCGTAAATTGTTTGTTCACCCACACCATAGTGAACTATGCCCACACAGTATCTAGCATTGATTTCTCAGCAGCATGGCTGATTATTAAGCCTTGGTTTAATCTTCCACCTACGGAAAGTTTGTTTTGGCCACTCAAATCTGA